TATATAGGCACATAGTACGTACATAGTATGAAACAAAGAACGCATTATTATGGTATTGTGGTACCTAATGTATAAACAACCCCACTCAGGAATAAACCAGTCAACCAGAACACACCAGAGGTAATTCACACAGTCCATATTACTCCAACAAGACTTCTACACAAGTTTTGCGATTTGTCACCATTAGAACAAGTAACGTAACACGCACATAACGACTTCAAAAGTGTGAAGCGCACTCAGCTACCGTCCCATCACATGTACTGGATAATGTCATCCACGAAGACGCACACCAATTTCTAGTCGAGGTGATCTCGGAGTGATGGGGTTTTAACGAAAAGCAGCGTTTTCAAGTTACGATTAGGCTCGGACCGAGTGCGCTCGTACGAGCCTGCTCGTATAATAATGCATTCGGATTTTAGTATACACGTTATGAGTTGAATAGCGTCCGAGTATCATTTTATTTCGTTGTTTCGTTGCACTAAATCCGTTTTCAAGATGTCCGACGATGACGATCTTCTACTGTGAGGCATAGAAATTGTGGCAGATAGTCTATAAAATAGTAAAGAGTAACTTGCGCCGCACATAGGTAACTAGTGGTAAGATCACGAAAAATTAACTGTGTGCTTCGTTGACTTATCTAAAACTATTATACAAAACATCATCAATTTCCAACATTAACACTACTGAATAATGTTTTGAGAGACCGTATACAGTTTGATGGTTCTCTAACAACCCTAAGAAGAATATTATATAAACTTGGGTATAAATAGAGAAGAACTGAGAATAACAGGAAGGTGCTAATGGAAAGACATGATATTCAAAAATTGAAATATTTAAGACAGGCAAAGTTTTTTCGTAATGAAGGTAGACCTATAGTGTATACTGATGAGTCGCATATTCATGTAAAGAAATATTGGCCCGAAAAAGACTCTAAAACAGGAATAAAATAAAAGTTAACAAAAGGAGTTCGCATAATGATAGTACATGCTGTAGGTGCAGAAGGTTTTGTACTGAATGCATTATTGACATACAGAACAGAGATCAAATCCGGAGACTACCACGACAATATGAACACAGAAAATTACTTAAAGTGTTTAAGAAGAAACTAATTCCAAATGGATGGATAATGCAGCCTATCATAACGCTAGCTCAGAAAAATACCAACATTCAACACCAATCAATTAGAAATGCAGACTTGGCTGAGGGCAAAAAATATTAATTTCAAGCTCCAAAAACTTGCACTTAATGACCTAATACTAAAAAACAAATAAAGCTTCCCGAAACACAAAGTTGGCGATTTATTAAAAGTTCATGATTTCACAGTGTTTCGACTGCATCTTTAACATCCAGGTTTAAACCAAATCGAAAACATTTGGGTTCAAACGATGTTGACAATCAAAATTAAAATTTAATCACGGGCATAATTCTAAATGAAGCCTTTAATAGAGTAAATAAAGATATTTGGTTCAACACTTGTCAGCACGTGATAAAAATAGGAGACAAGTACTTAAGATCTTGATTTCAGATTTATTATAAATGTCGTTGATACGTCGAACTCCTCTTTCGGATCAGACTTTTCTGAAACGACTGAAACATGATTTTTAAATTTCACTCAAATTATTTCACGTTTTTCAGTTCTGTATTACATTTGCATTTGTATTACATTGCCCCCAATTACAAAAATATATCATAAGTATACGAAATAAAAATAACTTAAATTCCAACACCTAAAAATAAAATTAAATCCATTAATTCGAAGTAGAGCATCTTTTACTGAACGGTTCGCGACTGACGCTTAAGTCAAGCACCCCGCACCCACCCCCCGATACCCTCGAGTAGAAATTGGTGGGCGCGTCTTCGGATGTCACCTTTGCATTGCCTGAAGGTTCCACCAGGTGGTTGCACGGACCGTGGATGCACGCCCTTTGTCGTCCATTTCCGTGAGGATTACGAGGTCCATCAACCCATTTTCAATATTTTCGTAAATATAAACTTATCTGTAAAATTATCAGTTCAAAAGTAAGAACAGTTACGTTTAATGTTAAAACCCGATTTATTACATGACCAAAGAACATCGAGTTATATACATACCTAGTCGTGTTAGTACTGAGTGGTACCTCGCCATTGCGTGCTGTTCTAATGATTACCGGTTTTGTAATATCCTTCATACAGTTCTTAACACATTGGCACGACGTCTTTTGGACAGGACCCTCCTAAACAAAAGATTACTTTTTGAAGTTTGAAGCGAAATGCCGCTTAAACAAGGTTAACTCAATTTGCGCGCAATTCCTCTCGCTTGGAGGGCACACTGAGTGAGGGCCATATTTTTTGCCCCTCGCTGGTGGATTAACTCGATTATCAAAATTCAAAGCTCGGCTGTAATGGCATCGTAATATGCTGCTGATTTGTTGAGTACACCTGCCGGGCGCCGCCCGACAGTCGGCGCGCCTCGTGGCCTTCCTCTTCCTATACCTTGTCCCTGAGTTCAACAATTACAAATAATATATTTTGGTTGGTTAACAAGTTGTTTGTTAACTTCGTGCTAACTTATAACACGTTACTTACATAGGGCACTGAGCCACTCTAGACTAATGAATACCTATTTTTTTATTTTCATTTAGTTCTGTGGAATCATAAAAAAATATGGTTACAATCTCAGTAATTTCAGAAATAATTATTGCACAAACATACCTACAACAAACCTAACAACAACCTAAAACACATAAATTATGTGTATTTTTTTGGAACACCTAATATATAAAATGAATATTTTACAGTTTAATAATATTACTAACATATGAGTCGAACACATAACATCCTTTTGAGAAGTTAGTTAATGAATATTGGTAAATAAAGAAATAATATTATGTTGTCAAAGTGTGGCTAGTTTATAAATTAAACTATCAATACCTTTCTTTAACATAATTGGTTTATCTTTAAAAAAGAAATTGATGAAATAAAAATATAAAATAAAATTATATTTAGATAAATTATTTTAAGTTACATGTAACTTATATTGCGTTACACAAGCCTGGCTTATACAACCATCTCTGGCAGGCAAGGAGCGGGTCACCAGGCAACTTCATAAATGTACATACGTCTCGTAGCGGTGTGCGTGTAGCCTGACGCATAAGGAATGTTAGAAATTTAATTAAAGCACCTCGTTTTGGCGATCTCCACGACTGTTACCGATCGTAGGCCTGGACTCTCCCCTTCCCGCACCCCCTGGGGCCGGCAGGCCGCCACTCAACTTCGAAAAAGCTGCAATTAAATTTTATTGGAGATAATCGAAAGTTAAGAGGTCATCTGCCCAAAGATAAACGGTTCGGCTGCGTGCTTTAACTAAGTTTTAGTGCCTTTGTCAGGTGTAGCGTGTTTGCACCGCACGTGGATCTGATCTCGGTGAGACAGATTATAATATTACAATACAATGCGTCTACGGGAAGGGTACAATCCTAATTGTGCTACATTTAAATGAACAAGTGAAAAAATGTAACTGTGTTTCTTTATGTGACTGTTTTGTCACCAGATGTCTATGCCCTAGTGGACTATCCAACCACCATAGGCATATCAATTTCCGGTCAATGGGCTCTGTGGCGTGGCTCCCAGTAGTATCCCTTACCCCGGCTTCACTCTTTGCAACGTTCACATTACGCAGATCCCAAATAAAATTGAGTGAAAACTACGACTTTGAAGACCGATTTATTTAACTATTCATAAAGCAGTACTAAAAATACGTCGCTGCCGTTTTTTAGGAAGGTTTCATCCACTGTGACTGAGCTGCCGGAATAATATACCTACGTGTGTACATACCGTCTTCCCATAAATGCTTATAGCCATGCACGAGCGACCGTGAAAATTCAAATTAAATAGTTTGTGAAAGTAGAAATATTTTTGATAAATATTGTTCAAGTGCAATATTCGAAAACCGAAATTTTGAAACTTATTTCATTTACATTTTCACTTTATTTGTATTAAATTAAAAAAAACGTAGAGACCAATTGAGAACCTCCTCTTTTGTGTTTTTGAAGTCGGTTAAAATTACAAATTCACTATTAAAAATTATTAAAACTTCATCACTGCCTCACCTTTAGCCTGTGTCGTGACCTGAGACCTAAGAACTGATGAACACAACTCGCATGCAATATTATTACAAATCTAAATGAACGAACTGTATTAGTTGAAATTTTTTAACTAAAATACAGGTATTATATGTGTAGGGTTGTGTTATGTTCAATTGTTCGGTGTGCTGATATAATTCATTTGTTAGGGGTTAGGTAGTGGTAATGAAACTATTCTTTGATTATTTTATTTTGTGTTCTTTACAATGGATTAAAATTTGTTAAGGAGGCTGAACCCCCTATTTCTATTAAATATTCTAAGTTAGATGTTACTAAAGAGTTTTAGATAATTGTGGTTATTTTAGTGGGCATACAGGTGATATTTTTCATAAGCTCCCAGTAATGATGTAAGTCAGAAACATCAGTGTCACTGGCTTGTTCGTGCTGAAACTACTTACGTGGATCCCGTTGGTTCGTTGTTCGCACCACACAAATACATAATATGACTTTTAATGACAAACCGTTAATTATATTTCGGGATTTAGTGTAATGTTCACCGTACAAGTATAGTAAACAACATTTTTTTTGCGTCTAATGTATGCCTGTTAGCGTGTCCCTTATTTTACAAAGTTTTAAATTTCTAACGCATATAATGCATAGGTCTTAGTTTTGTTTATTGGCCTCTAAAACACTCGGAAATATTTTTTTACCTTATTTGGAGTACGATAACCGGTGCCGTCTTGCATCGAATCATGTTCATACTCGTACACGTTGCGCGGCAGTAGCGGCGCCCATTCGCGGTATTTGTCATTTGTTCTCAATAATTCTCGCGACTAACACGTATTGTTTTTAATTTAAAAGATGGCAGTGGAGTTAAGAAGCAAGCAAAAAAGTATTTTCTTAGTTGGTGAGCGGTGAAAAATACACTCATATAACCTAATGCCTGTGGATGCATACAGTACGTTGACGTCGGACTGTCTAATTTATTATTTAAGACCAATATGTATATATACATATATTATGTATGTATATAATTATATACGATACTACTAGATTCAAATCGGAGCGCGCAGTTCCGATGAAGACGCACAGGGCGGACATGTTCTAATCACGTGTCGTCCTGTACGCCACAGCTACGGCAGGAGACGAGGCAGTTCAAATAACAACGAGTGTTTGCCGACCTAATTGAATGTGAAATGGATTCAATGTGCCGCGGAGAGGGTGCCAGATCAAAGACGCCGACGCCCCGAGCTCACTCTTTATCATGTTTTAATTTATTTTAAAAGACGTACGCACCTACCGAACGACACCCCCCTCCCCCCCTTCCCTCTGTCTGTCCCGCCGCGGGTCACACGCCACCCGCTGCCCTCATCTGAAAGACTACAAAGATTTTGATTTTGCTGTTGTTTAAATTACTATAGGAATGACGTTTATCCCACGTACTTAATAATTAATCATTGTTTCACGACATGGTATAAACATTGTTGCTACTGTGTGTGTAGGGAGTAACAATATGTAGCAATAGTAATATCTGCAATTTCTCTTAGATCTTTGTTTATTGTAATTATTTAATTGCAAAAATAGCCATGAATAGAACATTGAACCAAATAGAATTTATTTTGCTTTGCAGGCCCCCCAGGCCCTCCAGGCAAGCGAGGCAAGAAGGGCAAGAAGGGTGACCCCGGGGAGGCTGGACCTCCGGTGAGTACTCACAGATCACAAAGTATGTACGTTCGATTTAGTCGGCTTTTTATTATTTTGTTTATTTTAATTGCAGGGGTTAACGGGAGCGCCGGGGAAGAATGGATTCCCGGTACATATATTTTATTAATTTGCTATTACGGCCTCCTTACTTTCTGTTTATCATTTCTTTGTAAAACTAGCTATTCTTTGTTACCTTAACTATAATGCCCTACGTGCTCTTGACTCTTGATGACAATGATCGGCAGACATATCTGTAGGTATACCATCCTACTAGCGAGGCATGGTAGCCATAGTGATTGTACAAAAAGAGCTACGAATTAAGAATCGTAGCCCATTTCAAGAACTTACAGTATACAAGTTTGGAATTAATAACACATCCCCTAATTACCAATGAAAAATGGTGTCGCTTTAACGGAATGACTGACACTATTTCTGAATATACCTGTGTATGTACATTGTACATTACAAACTGACGTTTACAGATACAAACTGCCATTTACAGACAATACCGAGTACATTATTACCATAATGTAATTAAAACAAATTACTTTATTGCGAAAATGGATGGGTACAATAATTATTGTGAAATAATAAGTATTAAGAAGCTACGCCATAGCTTCTCAATTTTCGGCCTCTCGGCGTGCAATACTTAACATTTATAAATTACAAATTTTAGGAACTTTATTATAATATTGTGAACATTTAGAGACTTTAGAATGTGAGATTTATGAATGTCAATATATCAATTATTTATGACTATAAATTAATAGATTTTTTTTATGTCAGTTAAAAATAAATTACAATAGAATGTCACAATAATTTAAGATTAAAACAAACAAATATAATGTACAGTCCTTAACGATTTGTCAACTGTATAGTACGCCTTTTGTAAAAAAAATATTTAACCATATTTTTAAAACCAATGAAACAAGTAATTTCTATTAAACGTATGGGTAGATGGTTATAGACTCGTGGCGCCATGCAAAAGACACTCCGATTCATCAAACCACTTTTATGCTGAGCACTTTTAAACAGAAACCTTTGCTTTATGTTACCAACTTACTCAGATATGTCCTCTGCTCCGTCTCACTGTCATATTTCAAGCATATCCCGAAATCAAACAAAACACAGTAACGTAACGCTGACGTACGTTCGATGAGTAGCGAGTGTCGCACCGCCCACACACTACACGCGTGTCACGTTTCAGGGTAGCAAGGGCGAGAAGGGCGAGCGAGGCTTCATGGTAAGATGCGACACAAGACCCGTAGCGCTAATCCCTCGCCACTAACCCCCCACCCCTTCGCATATACTAACTCTGAACCTCGCCCCCTGCGCCGGCGAGCACTGTGCAGCCAGGAGACGACGGTTCACTTCGGTCTTTTGGTGGCTCTCTGTACTCGCACCTACACTACATCGAGCACACTCGCCGCGCTCCCCTCTCTAAAGAAACACTCCAGCACTCTTAAATTAACATTTTTATAAAATACCCGTAACACGCAAACAGTGCCACAGATTAAGGAAATAATTGAGGCAATCTAGTTACTACAATCTAAATATCTAGTTACTATAAGTAGATTGTGTTTACTTGCCAAGATTTAATTTAGAGTCAATCCTGAAATATAAATTTTTACTATCAAGTGGAGAGACAGAAGAATTGTGAAGCATTTGAACACTAGGCGATTTACTTCACTGTTGACAAACATTTCATACTTGACTGCATATCGTCGGGTATTAAATTGGCAACAAGAACAACAAGAAGTAATTGTCAATATGAGCAATAGTAGATATCAGAACTAAATAACTTTTTGTTTATCTACTCGTTTATATTACACGAATACCCAATAAACTGGCCAAACGGTCAAATTGCATTATTTTAAAACAGTTTGGATAACCACAGACATCCAATTGCAAAATTTGACAACATTTTCGTAATGATTAAATCATCTCATTTAAATGTTAAGTTTCTGTCGGGTAGGCGAAAGGTGTGTGGCGAGCGTGTAGTGGCTAGTGCCTGTTTACCGGTAGTAACCGCACCACGTGACAACCCATATGATATCACCACCGGCGCTACCATGTAGCTCTTGTTGTATAACTCCTGCTTAACCTATCCTAACACCTCCCCTGCGCCGCTATTGAGCTGGCCGTCACCGTGGTCAATAGTACGATCGAGTACTTAACGCACCTCATCATTAACGCTTTTGTGTGTGGGTTTACAGTAGAATAATACAAGTGCAAGTAGACAATATAATGACGTAGAAACATACACGTACTGCCTCACTAATATTTGTTCCACGACTACACCATCAGACAATCAGCGTCACTGTCACGAATCTTTGCTTCTATACAATTTTAATTATAAAGTGAATTTTCGCTGAAGTCCGATCGTATGGCCCTGTCATTTCAATGTATATTTAGAATGAAACTAATAGAGTATCTTACTGATATCCTTACTTATTAATTCCAGGGGCCGATTGGGCTGGACGGACCTAAAGGCGACCCGGTAAGACTTCAGCTAATAAATACAATGAGAGCAACTGTTCAATCCTGAATATGGTTGCATCTCCCAGCAACAACATATGTGTGTCCATGCACTGTCAACATTTCGGCATGACCGAGATCAAGGCAGCTGCATCGACACAACACACGGATGGTACACAAGAAAATAGCCATTCATGTGTACTATTAATGTTTCTGTTAAGCGTTAAGCGTCCTGCAAAAAAACCTAACTTTTGCAATTGCGTTTGTTCCCAACTTTAAATAGTAGTTACGTATCGTGTAATTAACTGATTCATTTTGTTTGTGGGCTCACAGGGCCGGCCCGGTGACAAGGGGCAGAAAGGAGAGCACGGCAGTCCCGGCTTCGACGTCTTCTCCGCTGTCAAGGTATTCTTCACCGATACGACTGTATCACGCGATCTAACTGATTTTAACAGCAACTGCAGCTAGTTAAAAGAATATCGTCGACCTCTTTGACTAGTCTAGAAAAGTACATTGCTGCTATTTACTAATAATAAGTGGATTGTACTAGAAATCTTATATGACTTGTTGCTCCTTTGCTCAAAATGTGTATCAGGTGTTTGGGTTCGAATCCTGTAGCAAAAAGCCAAGATGCAGGGCATACTAATAGTACTGTTAATATTAGAAAACCTATGTTAACATTGCTTATTCGTCAATCCTTAAGTCAAAAACGTTGTTCCTGAGTGTGCAAGTGCAAAAATGCATGATCGCAAAGGAGTTGGTTGCTGTACTTAAAATTTCGTTTTAAGTTCAAGGGTTCGAGAATTTAAATATAAAAAAAAAAATCTGAAAATATACGTATAGTTAAATATTTAATTTAAAGGAGGGAGATTGAAAGGTAAACAAAAGTGGTTTTAGAATTTCTTGATGTGAAACACATTTATTTGACTAAATGGCGATGAGTACACGTAATAGGACTGAGTTGTAAAAAAGTTGTTTGGTAGGAATATGAATTAAGCTCGTCGGTTCTTGGTTGCAGGGCGTGAAGCGATCCGTGGACAATTTTAAGATTAGTCCGTACACAAGCGCAGAGATCATAGCCGTCAAGGTACCAATGAACTGGCCCATTGTCGCCAGTGACGCGGTAGTTAGAGCTTGTGACGTCAGCGTCACCTTTCGTTGCGCTTTGTCTGTTCTTGTACCGTTGTTTTAGTCAATAATAATTTATTATTTGTTTTTGCACACTGTTGTACGTCGATGGTAGAAACGGCTCTACGGTTAATAGAAACAGAATTCATATCACATTGACATGAGAGTCGTCTTGACGAAAGCGATATTACGATCGACTTACATTAGTTTTCGGGTCGGTTCTCGGTGGTGTGTTCGCGCTATTTGAGCGCACGCGTCGCCTTTCCTGACCCGTGCTTTATTTGTGTTGTGTACGTAGGGGCTGCAGGCTGCCGGGCACAACATCTCCGCGCACACCGTCATTCAACTCAAGGTTAGTCGCATGCATACACTACGCAAAACTCAATATTAAACCATTTCGTACAGTAACAGTCCAATTTTTCAGAGTTCAGAGCAGTGTTCACATATATATACAGGTCATTTCACACTGACGATTATAAGCGGTCTTGAATGTGGGAGAGCCATGCCTCGGCAGCCAGAGCTGGCTCGACCGGAGTGATATCTCGCTGAAATCACTGCTAAGCAATTCATTTGTTCCTCAATTTGCATACGTATCTAAATTAAAACGATCACGCAGTAGAAATTACACATAATTATACTTGTAGGTATTCTAAGCTTAACTCACCGTAAGTGAGTGAGCCCACAAAAGCTAAGCTACAACTGGAGACATCACCCATCGGAAGGTTTATTCATCATCATAATTATCTAGTATTTCTTTCAAATAGTAAAAGTAGTTCGTACGTGTGGCTTGCCTCCTTGTTCTCGCATTACTTTTGTTTCGTGTTCACATCGTGGACATAAGTACGAGTATGTCACTGTTACAAGTCAGCATGTTTTAGATGTGTTTGCTTTCCGCACTACTGTAAAATATCAACTCGAAAATGTAGTCAATTGAAGGATGTGCTCCTACATTATCTTCACTGCCAATTACGAATGAACACTATAAGTTTATAGTTCTGTAAACTTTAATATTTTATTTATTTACGTGATCAGGGAGAACCCGGCGAACCGGGGCCTCCAGGAGCACCAGGACCTCAAGGAGTAGAAGGTCTTCCAGGTCACGAGGGACGCGCAGGACAGGCCGGTCCCTCGGGCCCACCTGGACCTACTGGTCCCGTTGGACCACCTGGCCTCGTCGGACCACCGGGCTCCATAGGCCCAGCAGGTCTCAAGGTACATTGCCTCAAATGTCTCACTGCTGTTACAAATACATAAGAACGTAACAATTATGTTTTGTCATACATATATTAACTTATGTGTATAATTCATTCCTGTCTGCCAAGAAACATTGTCTTACGTTCACAATTTTGTTCAGCCAAATCAAATCAGCACATTTTTGTTTGATATTGGCAGGGTGACAAGGGCGACAAGGGCGAACGTGGCTTCACAACGACTCTGAAGGGCGACGCTTTCCCCACTGGCATCATCGAAGGTCCACCCGGCCCTCCCGGCCCGCCCGGTACGAACTCTACTACACTGCGTAGCGTAGCAGCGTAGGCATGATTATTGTCGTAGGTTGTAGAACTCCGTGCGTAGAACGTGACACGTTACTACCTGTATGTTGTAGATGTTGATATAGCTGTGTAGTTAATAGTTATGGCACTAATTTCACAACGGGGGGCACAGTTGTGGACACGTAAGGCCGCCAAGCCGTAACCTCGTGAGGAGACAAGCACATGTCAGAACCTGCTAACTAAATCCATAGACCAATAACGCTCCACTCGAATAATGCACCGGTATTTTATGTCAGCCAATTTTCTTACTGCTTGGCGATATCCTGTACAGGAACTCACGCTTACATGCGCACAAAAGTAATATATAAATCTATTAACATAGTAACATTGTTAACACGTGTGGCACCAGCTTCCTTCAGTGGCTAGCGCGGTCTATCGACGACACCTACAGGTATTTGCTCAATCTAGATGGCCACCATTATTTACGATTTTTTTGTAAAACAGAATAATGAAACTAATCTGCCTTTGAAAACAAGCCATTACTTTTTAACTAGAGCTGTAGGTAGGTCTAGAAATTTGTGTATTGGCCAGCGACATTGATCAAATACCTGTGCGTGCGGTGACGAGCGAGCTAGTAGTCGATGAGTCGCGCCGCACACGTACCTTGTAGTGTGTAGCAACGCTGTGTGACTTGGGCGTGTTGTGTGTGTGTGCGAAGGGTCTGCGGGACCGCGGGGCGAGCGCGGCGAGGGGGGTGCGGCAGGTCCTCCAGGTGCGCCCGGTGACAAGGGCGCCCGTGGCAAGCGCGGCAAGCGGGTAAACATCTCACCTACCGCAATACCACCACCATAAGGCAAAGCACGTTCTCCGCCTCACTAACCGTCAAACTATTTTCATTGCTAAAAACAAAAACAATTGCCCAGATTCAAAATCATACAATTGTAAATGCCGCTGAATGGAGAGTGCTAACGGGTTTGAGTAACCTGAGGTACGGTTATGTGACGTATCATTTGCCTCTTAGCGGTGGTCGAGTAGTAGTCGCTTTACGCTTTTGCAAGGTCCCGTCGTGGACGACGCTCGGCCAACGGCGCTCGGCACGCGCATGACGCATGTTGCATGCTGCATGAGGACACTCGCCTTGACGTAGTCACACTCCCGCGTACACGTTGTAGTTGTGGTACAAGTGATAACTAACGAATAGTAGAGGAAGCTAACCCGACCGTCCAGCACCTCGCTTTGCCGCACCGGATTTGACCCAATAAGGTAAACCGTTTTCCATTTTTTTTTTTCTTTTTTAATGTCTATTATTACCGCACTGGTAACATACATACCTACGTAATACTCACTCAGGTAGATATCACAATTCAATATTCTACTTTCTTCCATTTCATACATTGAAATGTACTTGAATAAGCGCTATTCGACTTATTCACGTGACCATACTTATTTGTCCAGGTCGCACTGGAGAAGCAGGTCCACGCGGGCCCGCCGGAATCGATGGAGCTCCTGGCACGCCTGGTGTGCAGGGACCGCCCGGTAAACCGGTTAGTATACGCTATTGTACCGATGCATTGCACTAGAACATATACTGTGCTAGACCTGACACTATCTTACCGATGACCAACAGCACCATCCTAGTAACACTTGCTTATTTCTTTTACAGAATACCATTATTGAATTCTTCATGATTGAAGAATTTATGTAGTAATGGTTTGCATAGGTTTAAATTTTTATGTCTAAATTTCAGGGTGAGATGGGTCCGAAAGGTTCCAAAGGTGAATACGGCGATATGGGGTCTCCTGGCATGCTAGGCGCTCCCGGCTTACCCGGCCCACCCGGATACCCCGGCCTCAAGGGGGACAAAGGAGACAAGGGTGACTCGGTAGGAGGCTATTATACACTAATTTATATTATATGTTAAAAAAGTTAAAACTACTCATCACCGTCATTATCATCTTCTTGCTATGTCCACATTATTTTAATGCTATAGGAGGCAGACGAGTAAACATGTCGCCTGATGGTAAGTAACTGCCGGTATTGCGGCGATCAGTGCTGGCGGTGACAGGTTTCGTCTGATCTGTCCGAACAAGACTCGACGTTCGAACCCGCAATGGTGGCATTGTGCCGTAATATCCCGTCCAAATCGATTCAGATACTCACCGTAGCAACCGTGTCCGGTAAGCATCTGAGTCAATCGGTAGGTGACACAGTCGTTCCTCCCTACCCACGCTTCGAAGCTTGGCAGAACGGCTCCGACGGCGCGTTAGCTAGCACAGCCCTGAATTTCGTGCCGTGCCTGCCACGCCCGCAGAGCCTGCGTATGCGCGTTCCGCCGTAGCATTCCCGGGCTCATGAACCGGCGCGGCCTCCTCACCATTCCAACCGACAGAGCGAACTTGGTCATAGACCATCGCGTCCATGTCGGCCAAAATGTCAAAGGGTGGATATCGCGCCACTAGCGTCGCCACTTCAAACGAGATCGTAAGATAGCCCCCGTACGACCCGTACGGCCATCAACCGCTGCAGGCCAAGTCATTAGACCAGACGGGTGCCCCATAGAGGACCATGGATCGCACGATGTCCATGAGAAGGCGAACTTCTTCCCCTGGACCCCCGAGATTGGGCAGCAGGCGATGCAGTGCACCCGCTACCCTCCGCACTCGGGGGACTAATAGCTCGAAATGATGTCCAGGATGAGGCCTAAGTGTTTCATGTGGCAAGAGCTGGGCGGTTCCTGGCGCTTACGTAGGCCATGGAACCATATCGACCACGATATAGTTCTGACCCTCAGACCTAGCTCCTGAATCTTTCCTACGACACAAGCCACCGAATTGAATGCAGTATTAAAGTGTCGTCAACATAGCAGGCGACACTGAGGTCAGAGGGCAGACTGGTGCGAAGGACCACATCATATGCGAGGTTTCACAACATAGGGCCTAAAACACCTCTCTCCGATTTTCCACCCCGTTCCGACCGATAAACTTAACTGTCCTGTCGGGCAGATAGGCCAACGACCCGCAGGTAGTGCGGCACCTCACGAAATTCAAGGGCCGCCCGTATTGCCTGAGGGTGCTGAACGCGTTGACGCGATATCAAGGCTCGGGAAGCCCATAGCAACGGAGCTTCGAGACAAACGCTTTGTGACATACAAGGCGTTCGCTATGCCCTAACTAACCGCACAAGCTGCTCCCTTGTTTTCGATATCCTGCGGTAAATTAAGGAAGATTACCAGCTGAACGACTAAGACGAAAACCGTATTATCGGTCATTGATTTTATAGTTTCTGGGATGTTTGACGACCGGATGGCGTAGTGGTTTGTGTAACGGACTGCTATTCCAAAGGTCGCGGGTTCGATTCCCGCTCAAGTCAAACATTTGTGTGCATGAACATTTAATGTTTGATTTGGTCTGGGTGTTTCTGTATAATATGTATAATAAGTATGTATTTACAAAAAAAAGTATATATGTAGTAGTAGTAGTATAGTATAGTATAGTATAGTAGTAGTATATATGTATTTATATCAGTTGTCTAGTACTCATAGTACAAGCTCTGCTTAGTTTGGGACTAGATGGCGTTGTGTGAATGTGATAGAATATTATTATTATTATTATTCGTCAATTCGTTGCTTATTTCCTATCTAGCCGAATGACTAGTACGTGAAAGCATTCAAATAGGACAAAAATTGCATGAGAAAGGTAATCCTCTCTCACGCAATCCTTGTTCTATTTGGATGCTCTTCACTTTTGTATTCCTCATCCATACAACAACTCTACCTGCCATACTTAGCACATGATGCCCACACCACACGTCCATGCCAAGGTAATTTGTTACTCCGCAACTTTCATTCATACCTCATTTTGTCCTTTGAAAAAAAAAAACAATTTAACTTATCTACATTATTCCAGTTTATACTTCGTAGAGCCCGATGTCATGATAAAAGCCATATGGCATCAATTGTTTGCTTCTAATGTCTGCTACAGTAAAATCTAAAGCGTAATAAATCAGATGTGTAACTTGACGCGTTTGTTTTGCATATGCGGCGGTTCGCGGTGACTCCACCAGAAGTACAGGAAACTGCGGAGAAGACAGGTATCTATCCATTCCACATCAGTGCACTCTCGCGTCGGGTGGAATCGACCACAGGCTGTGCCATGAGCTACTGCTTGCAACCGACGACATTTATAAAATTCCTCGTCCAAGTGTCGCTTCCACCCCACGTAACTGGTAGCGCTTTCTACGTTAAATGTTACGCTATACATATACAATACAACAAAAATAATACTCTGATCATAATAAATAGTAATTGCGATGCAAATTCTTTATTCCCATGAACTGTTAATCTTTATGCCCACTGTTGAACTTGCAGGGAGATGGCACCGGCTATGAGCTCTACGGACACGAAATTGTAAGTATCTAAAATAGTTCATTTATCAATAATTTGGTCTATTAGGTACTTACATATGTATTTTGTGACGAGGGATAAACGTGGAACTTTGATAATATTTCACATCAATTTAAAAATGTATGATTTTCAACGTCTTTTTTTGTTAGAAGCCTACGAACTCGCTGCAACTACTTCCTAGTAGCTAGAACGATGTAATGCCATTTAACAACTTTCGCCGGATATTCTATCGTTTTATTGAATAAATTATTGTTATATCTTATCCGTCAGAAAATTACTCCGTTTACAAAACATGCGACTCACATGCATCCTCGCACAGTGCTTTGGTCGTCACTCTGTTTGTTCGTTTCAGGTATAAAATAGGCTGTGTGGCGGACGTGCACACGTTTCATATTCCACAGGTCGTGTCAGCGCGGAGGCACCACCTTCATGTGGACTATACCACTATATACAGCGTGTCACCTATCTTTTAACGAATCTGTAAAACACATGTTCTGCACTTTATTTCTAGCCGATTTGCAAAATATGAACAAAAAATATTAAGTGATAATATTCAGCGGTACAAAGATTACGAGACAACCAAAGTACCTACTTTTTCAAGGAGTGACACGTACTGCCGGGTCAGAAGCTAGTCGAGCATTCCTAATAAAATCGTATTCTTAATAAATAGATTTTAAAAAGCAAGAGAAGTGATTAGTAGCTCGTCGCGGCGGCCGCGTCGCTTTGATGTCACCGACATTGCGACGCTGCTGTGTACAGTTCACCGACTCATGTTATCAATGGTGTTCTAATGCGGCAATTATTTTATTCTATTTATTTTGTTCTAAATTTGCATTTCTGTATTTTCATATTTTTTTTTTTTTTAACCGACGTATATTGAACGGTGTTATCTGTTATTTCATTTTTTGTGATATTTTCCATCACATAGTGTATATATAAATTTTAAATTTCTAAATTCATTTATTCATTCATTTCTATAATATATATAAATTTAAGTCGCACCCTGCTTCTATTAGATAGACAATTGTGGACCGGTTTCTCACACCTAACGAGTGGTTAAATAATTAACCACTTATTCGTAAGTTTGTTGAGAGGAGCAATAGCTTCCTCCCTATTACATAAGTAGGACTAAAATTATAGATGATTCGGGTATAAACACGTGAGTGTACGTTCGAGAAAAAGAGGGCTTATAGACAACTCTCAAATATGTTTGTCTTTGTCTCCGATGTTAGTAATTTGTATTCACTAAAATTGCAGAATAGGAGACTATTCTGCAATTCTAGTGGACACTGAGCCACAGGTCCGAACAGGTTTCCTTTATTTATTTATTATTTAGTCATTTTAAGGCTCTTCGACAAAAGATATGCATGCGCTGCTCAAAGTATGGCATTAAAATATATTTCAATCTCCTGCATTGAAATATATTTTATTGCCGTATTTTGAGCAGCCAGCAGCCTGCGCAGCGAATGCCATGTATCTTTGAACTATTATGACACCTCATAGGAAAAATATTCTTTAGTATTTTTTTATCTTAGCATTGATTTAATAATGTAATTTTTCTTTTTACAAATTCAACGACTTAATAATGTATAATTCTCCACCCAATTCTTAAATTGACTAGTAAATCCTTCAGCCTAAGGGTGGCGATATACCTATGGCTTTATCTTTATTCATTTTCGGATTATAATTAATTAGCCTCAGCCTACCAAACTATTAACTATTTACCAAAACCCATTCCCAACTCGGTCGTTTACACTCTTTGTAATAATTTTAGGAGGTACCCGTGTCCTGCATTGGTAGTCCTCGGGGTGCCTATTTAACAATATAACGAGTTTTTTATGTTATTTAAATAATTTACAGTCGTCCTTAACTTATTTAGAACTGACATAAAATGTACACCTGTTGATAGATGATGGGTCCTCCGGGAGCACCGGGCCCAGCGGGCCCACCCGGCGTGGCAGGCCCTCCCGGCATCAAGGGAGACAAGGGGGAGCCTGGCGTTAGGGGGAAAGCGGTTGGTACACTTTTCTTGCATCACCTACACCGGTGTCGAAACGGTGTCTTTCGAACGAAACTCCTTTCAATAACACAATACCTACATGTATTTTTCAGGGAGAAAAGGGTGAGAAAGGCGACGCTGGTCCGATGGGATTACCGGTCAGTATCACTTTGACAAGTCACTTTACTCTACATCTGTATCTGTTTAGAGGAAACCTTGAGTCGTGAACACATCATTTATGATTATTGTATAAAATATGTCAAAACATTTCATGACTTTTTTAAATCGTGGGTTGCATAATATCTCAGGCCAATCGTTGTACTGAGCCGATCGAGATCACGGGCACATCATGATAGCCTGACATTTCTTAATTTGCTGTTACAAGTTAAAACAACTTTTATATCATACAAAGCTTAACGCGACTATTTGCATGACCATACTTACACCTATCGATTTTGCACATTGGACAGTGAGAGACAGCATTCATTCATAAAATTGGTTTTGATAACAAACTGTAACAAACACGACTGTGGGCAAATTCATGTAAGTAACATGAATTTGCCCACAGTCGTAAAGGCACATGTTGTGTTTTTCAATACTTACTTGTGTTAACCTAGGTACAGTTGATGTGACACTGTGTACGTTATGTGCAGGGGCCGGTGGGACTGCCGGGCGAGCCGGGGCGGACCGGTGACCTGGGGCCCAGGGTAAGTCACCTCTCACTACTTCGATTTCCATATTCACAAACATAACACTGAACTATCACAGAGCTCTGCTACGTCCTGACTCCTGACGGACACAGATGTTACCGCTCATTGATGATTATTATTTCCTTTTTACGTTTTACTGAGCCACACTTAAAACACATTAACGTGTGTTTTTTTGGTACGAACGTATTGTTATTATAATCAAAAAGTTTTACACAAAGCTTATAAACGTCAAGTTTATAAACACGTAGAATAACCTTTACTCGACTGTATGTCAATCTCACACGGACGGTTAACAATAAATGATTAAAATAAACATACTTTTGTGGTAATTCAATAAATAATGTTTGTGAATATGGCTACACTTATAGAACCAGTAGACATGTATAAGGTTACAATGTAGGTACAGACAGTATTTACAAATTATTTAAACAGTCGATACTTAACAATGGCGACTGGGCAGATAGTATAACATATCGTAAAGCACTTTGCCTCCTATTGCCGATTGCCTACCGCACGTGTAGGTGAGTTGTTCACACTAATAGTTTGACTGAGCAGTGGAGAGAGAGCATTCAACTGTCTCAACCGCTGGCACTCTTGCTATTATTGGTAAACAAAATGTAGGTAGCAGTGTACCGCGGTGTAATAGCTACAGCCGTCCTATAATTATATCTCCAGAGATACATGAGGCCATACCCCTGAACTATGAAATCTTTCGCTTCGTTACTATTCAACATTAGTAATGTAATTATTTAATTCTAAATCTAGAGCAATGCTTGTAAAATTGCCAATTGAAAAAAAAAAGCCAACTATTCAAGAAAGATTTAATCACACACTACTCGCGATTAGAAAGTTCTATAGTTTTGTTGATTTTAAATCCACTGGGCATAATTATATCACGGTTGTAAGTATCTTACTGCGACGTATACATCATGTACCATTGCTATAATCACTAAAAATGGGCAAAGGATACAATACATACTAATTTACTAATTATATACATATATGTACGTAGGGTTGCCTAATGTGTCTGTGTCAACACTTTTTTTTTATTTAACACCGAATGAGTGTGTCATGCCAACTGCTGGTGCAGAGAGCGACAAGCAAGAGCGTTGAGCAACCCTATGGGTGCGTGTGTGTGTTTGTGTGCGTACTAACCCGGGGCGTGGTGTGGTGCAGGACAACCGGTGGCCGCCGGACTTCGCGTTCACGTAGTGACGATAGCGGCCGAGGCCGCGCCGCGCGGGTGCGTGTGGCGCCCTTGTACATTTACATTGTAACATACTTGTAAGTACGGACTCCTCGCTAGGATAGCCGCCTCGCAGCGGAACCGTTCGCCGATCCTTGTACAAAGATATCCTATTTATTGTATTTTAATGCTAACTTTAGTTACGACGAACGTTTCTACCCGTGTCGTTTCTGCGCTCGACCCTTACATATACATATAACATTCCATTTTCTTCTAATGTAATAAATGACAAGGATGCCCTTAAACTGATAAAGTTGTTTTCCACAGAACTAAATGTAGTGTAAATAATGTAAACTCCTCAAAGGTGTAATTGGGTAGATTGTAATAGAATGCGAATTACGCGGTAGGCGTTTTGTCACCGTCGTTCCGCCACCGCCGCATAATCCCACTCATACTTTGTAAGTACACGTAATAAGTTATTTATTTGGATAATTATACTAGTACTGATACTCAGAGATAATTATTTTTAAAACGTATGAAGCGTATGAGATACTGTTATCGTGTAATGTGTATATTTGGCGGCGAACCTCGCACCGTGCCAAGTTACCGTAAGTTACCTCGACACTTAGCGTGCCAGCATACACTAGTCTACAAAGTATTCTTAAGCTAAGCTAAAGTTATGCGGTCCGGCGAATGGTTCAGTTAAATCTCAACCACTCATTTAATCAATTTTTTTTTGTTTTGTAGGTATATTTTCCAATTGATCCATTTGCTGGACCGCGTTTATTGACGCCGAGGTTGAGGTAGACACTCAACTTGGGCATCGTTCATGCTCGGGTCGCGCTGCGTCTCGCGCACGAACACTTATCGACATTATATCATATCTTCCTATATTTAATGTAATCATTTATAAAACTATTAATTATTACACAATTCCTTAGTATAGGCCTAACTGTAACTTACCTAGTACCTAAGATCTGTGAATATAACAACAATCACGTTTGATCGTATGTATGACATAATATTATGTATAATGCTAGGATAAGTAAGCTCGGCGCAGACAAGCGAGCGCGCCCCCTCGTAACCCGTGCGGGCGGTGGGAGCGGGGCGCCCGCGTTTCGGCTGCGCCCGCACCCGGTGTGTTACCGTCCCGAACTTAATCACTTTATATTACTCATGTTAATGTTGACTCGTGCGTATTATATATTCCATTGGTGTAACTATTACATTTGCTTAATGTACTATTAAAGTAAGTGAACAAGCCGTCGCAGGACTTGTAAAGAAGGCGCGCGCCGCACGGCCCGTGTCCTGCGCGGGGCGATCACGGGCGGGCGATGCGCGTCTCGCTACCCACCCACGACAATGTATAAATTCTATTCCTTCACACTGTAAACGTTTACTTTACATTATGAAAACTTATGCAATTGCTACCCTTTGGGGATTCATCATTTCGTATACTTGTACAATTTCATAAGCGGCGTAGTTAGTAGCGCGGGGTCGCGCGGGAGCATCGCGGGCGCGTTGTACATATGGCCGTAGTGCGCCCGCCGCTCGCTCACTGCCTTGTTCCGCTCTACAACTTACTATAACATAAATAAATGTTTCTCGTCTCTTTATCCTGTGTACCTCGTAAGCGTAACGTTAAGGATTTAGTTTTTTATAAATATCGAAAGTTGTCATTTGTACCATATATACATCACGAGAGCCTAAAATATTGTTGTTTAAAAATTATTTTGAAGAAAATAAATATTTGCATGCTGTGCATTATTGTGTTTTCTTCTTTCGACTCTTAAATAAGTGAACCCTGCTGTCGGCTGTCACTTCACGCTAGCGCCTCTTCCCTTACCGTGCCCTTCGTTGTCCTCGCTTTCCTCTCTGTGCGCTGAGCATGCCGAGGCACGGGCTGTATACTTCCAACAAGACCGTAGCCTTCCGCCACACAGCATGAACCTCACTCCCATCCGTGATCGGTTTCTTCAAATCCTCTACATCCAAGATTTAATTTTGAAACTGTCTCGGTGAAAACTCGGTGAAATGCACGATGTCGAGTGCCGTGGGACTGTTAGTGTGGCGTGCATCCTGCTCCTTCATGGACTCGTACTTAGACTTCTTACTACGATTACCCACATATACATGGCTTAAGTATACAGAGTGATTATTATTGCATGTGAACGTGCGATAAAAGATCAGCGACCTTTCAATGAAAGAGTATATTGTCTATTATTTTTGCCTTCTAAAATTCAATTTAATACATGAATAGTAATGACAACAAATAATTTTCTTATAATTAAAAGGTTATACTTCCAGAAAGTTGTTATAATACTAAATCAATTCCCTGATGATCTAATATAAACAAGACTAGTGCTGTGATTAAGTAAGTGTAGTTGCCATTGTGTCGGTGAGGCCACCGCCGCGCCGCCGAGCCGCTGGTGGCAGCACTGTCGTGGCTAAATGCTGACGTGTCCGTTATTCCGCAGGGCCCGCCCGGACTCGACGGCATGAAGGTCAGTTCAATGACGAAACTTAACGCATTTTTTGTTGTTCAATTTCTATTCCTCTTGTTGTTCTTGCATTAAATTTGTCAAACTTTCGAAATTTACAATGAAAAAGTCGTTGATAACAATTCTCTTAGTTTGTGAACCCTTTTGATTAAGAAGCTATATGAGTGGTGCAGTGTTAGCTACCAATGAGCACATCACTCAGTTGAAATTCCTGTAAATACTGAATCTGTTACCTTACCGTGTCACGACTTGGAGGCGGTTAACGTAACAAAAACACTGACCTGCATGTGTGTGTGTGTGGTGCAGGGTGCGCAGGGCGAGCCGGGCTCCAAGGGGGAGCGAGGCGATCCCGGACTACCAGTACGTAATTATTATATACTGCGCATATTGTCACAGAAAGGCATAAACCCGCATTTAATGTAAACTAAAAACTAAAGGCAGCGGCGCGACCCCGAATCCAAGCATCTGAAATTATATTTATGAAATGAAAATTTACTAAATAATTCAGAGCTTAGTACAATTTTACATACGCTAATATTTATGTCTTGGGCCCTCAGCAATACAACATTGGCCTTGATTAATCGATTTGGCAATCTGTTTGTAGGGAATTTAATCAAACGGCCAGCGTCCGCTGTCTACTCGTACCTTTTTTGAGCATCTTTTTTCTTCTGTCAATGACACCGAAAAAATATGTAATGTGGAAGCTGCTTTATAAATTGAATAAATCATAAAACTGCGTGGTCTAGGATGCTATAACCCTCGACACGACCGTTCCGTCGCGCCGCCGCTTATAGTTAGAAGTGTTGTACAACAGAACAGGTAGATAAAAATAAACGTTTCACTTTCTATGGCTTAAAAATGTATTTATTTCATAGTTCAATCAATATTTGAAATAAAAATATAACGTATGTCACATTGTTCACATTGCGTATTGTGTAAACTATTCACACAAATGGCACGTTTTGTTGCGTAGAGGCGAGTGTACTTGCACTAATACCCATTGACTAACGTTTCAGGGCACCGACGGCATTCCTGGACAAGAGGTTAGTTACACATCATTTGCAGAGTTGTTTTACATGTTGCTCAATGTGTCCTATTATAATAGTACTATTTCGCTCGTTAGGGCCCCAAGGGTGACAAGGGCTACAAGGGAGAACCTGTAAGTGTCGGACCGTTCATCAACACAGTGCTCGAATCCTCCTCTTCGGTCGGCGCATGCGGCCGTCTATTACCTAACGTTCCCCCGTTCTAACGCATGCACCACTAACAACGGTATATTCCTACATAGCTTACACCATTACACTGTTATGCTACACATGTATTTAAACCAGCGATGAGGTGGGTGCAGGCTGCATGACTGCAAACTAAACATATACCACGTTTAAAAAAAATTTAACAACCAGTTCAGATAATTTGGACCCACCCCTATACATAATATCACTATGTAAGTACTGTCGTTTAGGTATTTAAAATATGCTATATGTCGTATGCGATATGTTAAGTATAAGTGACATTTGGCACTTTATCGTTATGTTAGTATGACAGTGTGCGCGCACTTTGCAGGGTCCGGTGGGCAAGCGCGGGCGCAAGGGCGACAAGGGCGACAAAGGTGACCAGGGCGTGCCCGGCCTCGACGCGCCCTGTCCGCTCGGGCCCGACGGCCTGCCGCTGCCCGGCTGCGGCTGGCGCCCTACCAAGGTGCGTCACTCGCCGCACGGCCCGCCCTGGCGCCGCGACCCCACCGTCACAAGCAGAGCACACTAATAACTGCTACGTAAGCAGCTGCCACGAGAAGGAACACAGACACAGTTAAATCTAACATTTCTATCGAAATAACTGAATGTGCTGAAATAATTTAAATTAACGAATTTATTTATACCTCGACTAACCGTTCTAACATTATTAAGGACAGGATTATGTTATCTTCTCATGGCGGCCATATATTGTGTGTAGTAGTTTTGTACTTAACACGTCACTAACAGTAGTGCAGTTAGTAGAAAGCATGTGTGGTGTGTAGGATTCGGTGCCGGTGCTGGGACGCGGCGGAGCCTCCCCCGAGGCGGAACCGTCGCCCGACGAGGCGGAGGACTCTGGCGAGGCGGACACGGGCGATGAGTACGAAGCGGGAGACGAGCTCGACACGCCTCGAGACTACGACGACTACACTGATAACGCGCACCACTCTCACCACCACGACTGACCGCTACGACAGTAGCCTTCTGCCTTCCTCTCTCCTCCCTGCCTCCTTCCTATCTCCGAACATCTGTCCACTCGTGCTACTTGAACGTGACTGCGTTGCGTTGCTTCTCGACCACTCTTAATGCTAAGACAAACATACAAGCATCCTTCAATTTGACCACGCTTTAAGTTTTATTCTACAATACCAAAAAGAATTGTAATCCATTTTATCCAGTGTATAAGCCAGGACTACACCTGGTTTTATTTAAACATGACTTTCTAAATATTGGCCGAGTGGAATAGATGGCACATGACAACCAACCTTTCCTCCCCACGCCATTCCTTCGCTTAGCACCACTAACTCCACAACTAATAACTATGCACATAGGTGATGGTTCTACGATGGCTCTTTGTAAGTGTTTACTAACATATTCTCGTATGCTTTGGACTATCCTACGATAATCTTACCTACACCTAGTACCTAAAGCCTATCAAATAATACTCTCCGACTCAATGGCATTGCGTAACACGAGGAATACTCCATTCGAGTGAGTTTTCCTTGATGAAGGTTATGTCTATACAACGACAGTTTGACATGTATTGTTCCTATCTGCTGCTTATAATTGTTGAAGAACTGAGACCTTTCTAAGCATCGGGTATAACAGGCCTTTTGAAGAAACTAAATAGTAAACAACAATGGCACGTCACTTACTAAGAAACTTGCTTCCGGTCACAGGTCCGGTCTTTAGTAACAATAGTGTCTTTTATCTGCTACCCATGTGGTAGTGACTAATAATACATCGATATTGTCTCCGCAATGGGTGTTGCAGAAATAAGAGGCAGATCATGATCATCATTGGCATGCATCAATGCATTAAACATCTTGATCAGATGATTTATGCAGCGTATTGGGTGTTTCCGCACTTTATCCGGTGACTGGATAGACCAACGCAGCAGTGCTGACAATTTAGGGCTTGAGTGCCTGAAACCCCATCCCCCTCGTGCCTGCGTATCCGGTTATGAGCTAACATCCTCAACCAAGCTTCATCATGGGTTTTGAGGCAGTCCAATACGTAGATATCGATTTAATTATTGTCGCTTTCCTGGTTTTTGTGCCTGAGGGTAGTATACCTGTTCCAATTGTTAATGCACCCTGGGTGACGTAATTTTAACGGCCGTGCCTCTGAAGGAGCCGTTCCACGGAAGGTTTTGGTCGCGGTCTGTGTTGTAGATTAAAATGATTAATTTGTAAGTAAGCTTTTAGAGCTACTTATGAAGATCGTAGGAGGTGATCCTATTTTTCACAATCTCGTTGTCTATTAAGAGACCTCAAGTAAGGTAAAGAGCGACATAACATAAGGTGTGTCCTGTTGTGTGCAGGAGGCAGTGCTGCAGTGGGTGCGGCGGCGACTCGACGTTGACAACGATCTGCTGCCGCTGTAGCACCTCCGGCCGCACGGCGCTCACGCCCAGGACTGCGAAAACGGTGTGACCTAATAAGACATTGTAGTGAGCGAGGTGTGATGATACGCTACTTATTCGACCGAATTGTATAAGAAGAAATGACTTAATGTTAACGTGATTTAGTGCGGTTACTCAACTAATGTAATATATTTTTCGAAATCACAAGTTGCGTAGTTGGTAAGAGTAAATACTTATTTATTATGTGTACCTACACAAGACTTACGTGTTGGTGAAATAATGCAAAACTTTTAGTAATATAATCGTTGGTTGTAATTAATGCTGATCTTGCAGGTCACCAAAACCACCGCAATTACGGGTTCGGTGTAACAAAACCAGAATATAAACAAAAAACGATATTAATGTAGCTGAGGGGTGGCTCTCGTATGACTCAATTTAAGGTTTTTAAATCTATACTAATATTATAAAGCTGAAGAGTTTTTTTGTTTGATTGTTTGTTTGTTTGTTTGAACGCGCTAATCTCAGGAACTACTGGTCCGATTTGAAAAATTCTTTCAGTGTTAGATAGCCCATTTATCGAGGAAGGCTATAGGCTATATATCATCACGCTAAGACCAATAGGAGCGGAGCACCATTAAAGAATATTTCAAAAACGGAGAAAATTTATTACTATTGAGAGACGCAGACGAAGTTGCGCGGGTCAGCTAGTTAAATATAATGCACTTACATCTAAATGGAGAATTAAATTCCTCATATGATTAAGTCCGAGAATTCTACAGGAAACAGCTAGCAGAAATATCCTCATGATTTCGTCCCCTCAGACATTATTGTGTTTACTTCATTCCGTGTGTATAATTTGTTATAGTTATTTATGTATTCGTACATGTATTTTAAATAGTATTTTCAAATTAATGTTATATTTTCATAGTTTCTTTTTTTTATACAATACATGTGCACCTACCATGCCCCTTACTGAACCATCTTAAGGTTGACCTGGTAGATAATGCCATGTGGCATTAAGTCCGCCGCGTGCAAGTTGTAATGCAGGAAGTGTAAAATAAATAAATAAAAAAATTATAGTCGTTCGATTAGGCGTTCGATTAGGCGTTCGCTTTGCGTTGTTTCACTAACACGTTATCGCGGTCTCGCGGAGCGCGTGTTGTTGTTTACTGCGTGACACGTATTACACCTACCTGCAGATGCAATGTACTGTATAGTGTATTCGTTGGCAACTGTATAGTGATGTACATAACGTTAGATAAGTGCTAGCTGTTAGACTAGAGCGTCACAGATCTATTTATTCTTAGATAAATATGGTACCCAACGTACCGTAGCTTTAGTTAGATAGATGTATCTCGTTCCGGTCCGACGTCGTTATACATGTAGTACAAAATATATTTAAATGTGTAAAACTTAGATACATTAATTGTGTTCTATATTAAGGTCATACTTAATTTTTGTTTTAAGACTGTTAAATAGCCAGATTGTTAAATAGTCTGCTGCTTCTCTTCACTGTCGAGTACCTCGTATTCATGAGATCGCATAGTCAATGCGGTACCCGAACTGGCTCCCGACTTTGTTCATAACTTTACCTGCTTGTATTGAACAATGTTTGTAAGTGCGGTGGCAAGAATACCAGTAGATAGTGCTTATTTAAGTGTTCGCTAGCGATTAGTTCACCTGTAAATATTCATCAATGGACATGACGTCCATGACATCATCCAATTTGTCAACATAATCCATGTAAGCGAGTAGGTATATATATGTGTGTGTGTGTGTGTGTGTGCGTGGCGGGTATCGGCTATGCACTTCCTATAATTCAAGACATTGTTCTTGCAGCCATTTCTGTGTGCATCGATACCTTACGAACTACTTCTAGCGTCTGGGTGTGGACAGTATGGTGGCCGAGTGGGCTAGCCACGCCACTATCCAGTCGTGTGCGTGGCGAGCACACTGCACAGTCGCACGTCCGTGTACGGACTGAAGGAAAACCCCCGCCGTAGAAACACCGGTTCTCAAATGATTAATTGTTAAGCTTGCCGAAGAGCCATCTAAAAACTTTTTTTAAAGAGAGAGCCATCTAAAAAAGATTTCAAGAAGTTTTTATTTCCCTGATACAACTTGATTGACATATGACGACACGCAATGCCTACTTGAGTAAAGTGAAGTAATAGATCCCAGGGACACTAGACCGACATACCTTACCAATACAATTTCTAAAATATTTTCTCCGGTCTTCAATTAAAAATAATACAGTTTATGTCCAAAAAATAATTACTTCAGACCAAATTACCGGAATCTCTGGATGTCTGGAACATACTTCATTACTTGGGGAAAGTCTCAAAGAAACTAGGAAAAATGCCAAATTACAGTCTGTTGGATAGATTTAGAAAAGGCCTTTGGCTCATTACGACACGAGCTCATGTTGATGAAAAGAACATCCCTAAAGACCATGCTTTAAAAAGGAACAAGGACTTTGACTTAACCAACGAAACAACTAAAAATGGTTATGTCGTTGCGTTGTATGCCGTGGAAGTGGGTGCGAGGGGTATACCAGCTAAATCCCTCTAAAAGACCTTGGATTGCCAAGACCTTCAGTAAGGTCTTTTCTTCAACGAATATATATCGGCAATGCTAGGCTCGTATCAAATATCGTTAGGTGGAGGTGGTAACATAGCAGACAGTGGAGGTCGCAAGGAGTACTCTTTAAACCTATACCTGGGTAGCAATCCGCAGGCGCTGTCAAAGTCGCATCTATCACGCGATGAATCGGAAGGACCCGGCACCCGCACGGTGAATCCATGGATAGTTAAGAAATAGGTTTTACTCGAGTGATAACAGTTATTTTGAATGACAGCTGACAGCGTCCTCAACTGAACTGGACCGTTATCGGTTACATTTATTGAAACCAGCGAACGTTATAAAATAATTAGGTAATATGATTATCATGTAATAGGCACATGTATGTACGTATGTTTTTCCTCGTGTTCTACTGCGTGTTATATTGGCCTTAATCACAGCATGTTAAAATGTGTTCATAAAAAAGATTGATGAGAACAAGTGCAAACATCATATAAATATTATATTACAAATGCGCAAATAACTCTATAATAATATTATGATTCATGACCTTCAACACGGTTTTGTAAATATATATCAATTTGTTTTTATTTCCTCAATATAATTACACTCATTATTGCAAGAGCCTATTGGTTGTTGAAAAAACACAAGCCTCGTGTTAACAAACTATCCCACGGCCCAGAGAATCTAACATTTGCCTACCCTCAAGCAGTTACACAGACACCAAGTTACTCAAGTAAACCATAACAAATATTTTTAATGAAATTGTGGTAAAATATTGTTTATAAAATATATACTTACAGTATACCTTGCTTTGAAACTGTTTTAATTTAAAACGTAGTGTCTCTACCACAGCGAACTTAGACTTATATATCTGCAGGTGAGTGGGTTCTAGAGAGCTCTTTGGCAAGGCGGTGTGGATATCTTGGACTTTGAGACTCAACTAAGAAAAAATGTCTACAACTTGCAGACATTTGTTTTTGGATTTTAAAAGTCCACTATGTACAGACCAATATACGC